AACATGTGCCGTACCGTATTTTTTGATACGACGTGTGAAAAGTGCGATTTTCAATGCACGTTTTCTGCCGAGCGTGCGGGAAAAACGCACTTTGCGTTCGGAGTATCGAAAAGAATAAAATCATTTTAATGTGTATCATAGAAGTTAATGTTTCAGTTTAACGAGCATTCAAAACAATGCATATTACTTAACATGTCAATTTTTAAGCTTACTTTTGGAGATGTATATTATTAATAATTAAAAAATTCTATTAATATTTCTATTAATTTAAAAAACTATAAAAATACAATATTTATTCAAATTTATATTTTCGAGTTACGTTTTCGATTGCCTTGAATTTTAAATTGATGTGATTGTGAGATATACCAACATGTGGAATATGGAACGTGGAACAAAGTTGGATCGTATTTATTTTTATTTATTTTATCAAACAAAACGTACTATCTGACGCAATCATAATATATGAAATAAGTCTTTTAAAACGCGATTAGTCTTTACATTATATTATATAAAAATTAACAATGTTAGTCAAATATATCTTGGTTTCTTTGAACAATTTTATTCCAGCCTTTTTTATTGAATATAATGCTGTAATCATAAGAACAAACAAATTCATAGCTACTTGTTTATGTTTTTTATCAAAAATAAATATCATATTTGAATAACAATACTTAATATTATTACAATTATTATTATAGCTACAACGTCAAACAGGTATGTTGACAAAGTATATACGTTAGTTTATACCTGGAATAAACTAGAGAACGATGTGAAATCACTCATCTACATCGGACGAGTAGATTGATACGATTAAATATGATATTTTAATAAATAGGAAGGGCATAAAAAAACAATGCAAAATTAGTAAACATAATTTTTTTATTTTACTCATCGATTATGCCCATGTTGGCAACTTTATTGCTTGGATAGTGTAGGCACGCGCTTATGCATTTTTAAATTGTTTATAAAATATTTAAACAAATTGTTGTAAAATTAGTTACCTCGTTTATGTAAAATCATATAAAAGACAAATAAAAAACGAACAAAAAATTCAAGAGGAATCGAATTCATCGTCTTCGCATTACTGAAGAAAATAAGCGTGAGTCTTAGCGCACTTTTAGCTATTGTGTCGATCACAAGTTGAAACTTAAAAGTTACATCCAATCGATAGAGACAAAAAACGGTCATTTCAGACAAAAATTCAGAGATGGAATAACTGGACGGAAATGTGTCAGAAATATTGTAAATAGATGTCCTATATCTCATGAAACTCGAGATGTTGCATCAAATTTTTTGTATAAGAGGTCAAAGTTTGCAAAAACATATTTTTTTAAATCTGTAAGCCACCGTTTACATTTTATATAAAAAACGTTTAGATAAAAGTTAGATTAGAGAAATTCAGAAGCTCTATTTTGAGCTATTGCATGATAATTTACGTTCGTTAGTTATTAAAAAAAGTACCAATAACTGTCGAAAATAGCCATATTTAAGATATCAAATATTTATTACACAATGTAAATTTTTTTATTTTTTTTTTGCTGTTAAGAGAAAGCTTTTACGATTCTCTACAAAATGATCCCTCGTGCAATTGAATATATTTATTAGTTGCTAAAATATTTCAATTAGTTAACTAAGAGGTGGCTAGTACGGAGCCCTAACTTAATTCTTAATTTAAAAAATAGCATGAGAATATAAACTATATTTGTTAAAATACCTCTTTCTTTGAACTTTTGCTCTCACTACTAGACTATATCGAATTGTATTTGTAAATAAACAATCGGTACTTCCTCAGGCTGACATCAATTTTATATGTTGATGACCAAACAATAGCTACAAATTGTACAATTCAGAATTTTCTTATTTTCCCTCTTTTAAATAAAACGAACTTGAAACGCGGAATTTGGACACAATATGATGATAGATAGAACAGCCACAAGTGTACAACAGACCTAGATGCGTTACGAATAGGAAAAACAGAAGTTTAGGATGGGTGACCGAATCCTCATCACTGCTTGGGGCTGAGAGTGAGAAGGCTTATACATAGAGTTTCGCCTCCTGTATACAGTCTCCATGAGTCGTATTAACAAGTACAGAGTTGTTTTATTACTAGAGGTAAGTGGGGTAAAGTGGAAAATTTTTGTTAACTTTAAAAAATTCTAGAGAGCACAAAAATACGTCTGCACGCGTCGGTATACTGTAAAGATTTGCTTACGGTCATTACAAGTACATGTCAGTAGCGCATGCCAAACATACTTTGATAGTTTGCCCGGAAAGTGATAGTTCCAACTCTACCTCATTTCCCACTTTATATACTTATCTCTAGTTATTCATAGTCATAGGTTATGTTAAAAAAAATTTATTGATGACACTATAACCAAACGCCTAAAAGAATCTTATCAGATAAGTAATTAAATTTAAAGTTAGTCAATTAATTGTATAAAACTTGTTACTTTGTGAATTGTATATTTTCTTTTGCAGACTGGAATCCCAAGAGTTTAATACAGACCAGTGGAAAAAAAGAAAAATGAAATGTAAAAAGTACTGGCAAGAAAGTATTTAGCACATGTGTGTGTATATATATATTCATGGATGTAATATTAATACTGCTAACATTTAGCAGTGTGGGTATTATCAACAGGCAAGTAATTTTTCTTAATGCTCGTTACTGTAAGTTTTTGTAGAAATTATATGATTTAATTTCATTTTGTAAATAGCAATATATATTCATCTGTACTATCTTTTCAGGATTTCTTTTAAGTAGTATTAATATCATAAACTGATGTAAAAGTATAAAAGAGATCTTATCCGATGCTGAATTCATGAGAGTATAATTTAATGCAAGATCATGTCATGAAATTAACATTCTCATGATTTCAACATAGAATAAAATCTCTTTTGCCCTTTTATATGAGTTTATCATATCAAAACTACTTAAAATGTATCTACAACAGGTAGTACCAATAAATATATACAACTATTTACAAAAATAAATTATATATATTAATTTCTTTTTGTAAATAGCTATAATATCGTTCAGTTATTAATGATATGATGAACTGATATAAAAGCAAAAAAGAGATCTTACTCTATGTTGAATTCAAGAGACTATAAAATATGTAGATTTATAGGAATGTATGATTATTGACATTATCATATATTTCATCATCTCTTTCAATTTTCACCTTCTTTTAAATATGTGACTCAGCCATCCTTTTATTTTGGTAATTTTGGAGTGTCACTGGATCAGATATTTATCAAAAGTTCAAAAATAAATAAAAGTATAAAAATTTGAAAATATATTTCTGAGGTGTGCTTGAAGATCCTCATAAAATTGATTTTATTTGCTGTTTACAATATTTTAATTTATCCATGTTAGTTCTTTGAAACATGTAAGATTTTTATTTCTTTTGCAGGCAAAATCTTACCGATAAGTATTACGCTTATAAAATAGTGAAATATTTGAAACAAAGTTATTTGACAGAGGAATGGTAAAAATTTATTACATTACCACTCGAGAAACAACTTTTAGAGCAAGGAGCTACTCTGGTAGTACAACGGAGTCAACCAGAAAAACATGTAAGATACAGCTATATAAGGTGTATGCTAGAAGATATTGTAGAACAAGCAAAGGAGGTGCTTAAAAGTGGAAAAGAAATCTTATCCAATGTTGAATTCATGAGAATCATTATTTCATTACATGATTTTACAATAAATTATATTCTCATGAATTCAGCATAGAATAAGATCACTGTTTGCTTTTATATCAGTTTTTTCAAACCAATACTATTTCAAAGATGGTATAGTCATTTACAAATAGAAATTAATTTCTATAATTTCTAAATAGCTGTATATATTCATCTGTAGTACCTTTTGAGGATATATTTTAAATAGTATTTATATGGGAAACACTTATAAAAATATAAATGAGATCTTATCCGATATTAAATTTATGAGAATGTTAATTCATGACATGTTCTTGGATGAAATTATATCCTCATGAAATCAACATTGGATAAGATGTCATTTATGGTTTTATAACACTTTATCATACCAATACTACTCAGAATATATCCACTGAAAGTAGTACCGATGAAAATATACAACTATTTACAAAAATAAATTATATGAATTAATTTCTTGTTGTAAATAGCTATAATATCTATTCAGTAGTACTTATATGAAAAACTGATATGAAAGAATAAAAGAGATTTTATTCAATGTTGAAATCATAAGAATGTTAATTTCATGACATGGTCTTGCAATGAAATTAGATTATATTAAATTATATTCTCATGAATTAAGCATCAGTAAGATCTCTTTTACAGTTTCATACTAGTTTCATTACTATTAAATACTAGTATTTCCTACAATATTAAATAATGACATTTAAGTTAAAGAAATAATAATTATATTAAATAAAAATAAACTCACCTCGAACATATCTTCACCAATTGCAGCAACCAGTAGCACAACGATCACTTCTTTGTCCAATATTATTAATTTTTATTTTGCTAATAATTATTTCACTAGTAGGCACTAATAATTATATTGAAGAGAACTGGAATCAGAATTTCGCAGCAGCACATACAGTACAAAGACGGACTTTGCAAATCGAATAACCGATATTAACAAAAGACGATCTGGGTCATGCTCATGTATATGTGCGTATATAAATTTTAAGATATCTTAATATGTATAATTAATTTATTGGATAAATAAATAAAAAATATCAAAAATTACTACTAAAAAATGTTTATTGCATCTCAAATACAAAATAATATAAATTTATTTTATTTTAATTCAATGTAAGCCGTGCTTTGATAATGCGTGCAATATGATTTCATTTGAAATTATATTTTGCAAGGCGGCAAAATGACAGCATTCTGAAGGCACGGCGTGCAGTGCTTCGTGACAGCATTATGCCTGCATTCTGACGGCACGCCGTGACGAGCATGCGCGTGCCAAACCGTGCCGGCACGCTGTGTTATCTGGGGTCGCAACTCACCGCTGACGATTTATTTCGGTCATTTCGCTCGTGCAGAAAATCTTGAATTTTTGAGCGCATCATTTCGTTTCGTCAGCGCTCCAAGACTCATCTAATATTCGGCGAAGAAAGACAATTAAAGTGGCTATTTGTGTAATTTTATAGTCACAGCAATGACTCTACCTGTTATTAATCAATAAAAATTTCTCGTTAGAATACAAAAATCAGCCGTCAGTGCTGCTTCGGACGTGTGATCGACAGTTCGTGGTTAGAAATACGATTAAAACGAAGAATCTGCAGCGTTTGGTTTTCTTGTGCTGAAGGTGTTTCAAATCAATAACGTCATCTGCAACTTTACCGCACGTGTCAAGCGTGTAAACAAACGGAAAATCGATCGAGGGAAAACATGAAGGCCTGGACTGGTACAACTGTTATCACTTTGTTGATCGTCAGTTTTTCATTGACCGACTGCAGTCTGCCACCTTTGGACAAGATTGTTGATGAAATTCATACAATTTCCAAATACGTCGATGGACATTCCAAAAAATCATCGCTCTACAAATGGTGGAAATACGCGGATGATCCAGAATTGTATATGACTACTGTAAGCACTTTCTCAAAATATTTCAGATTTTATTAAAGCACGATGTAAAGCATGTATTTTTCGCAAACGAGTTGACTTTATTTTTTGCACGTTGATTGAAAAAAAAAAAACTGATCATGGAAGAAAGCGAGACGATGACGCATCGTTGAATCTTTAGTTTTTCTTGGAAATAAAATTATAATCAAGTCAATTAATTTTATTGGAATGTTGATTACAGTTATACAATATTCATTAATACATCAAATAAATTTTAGGACGTTCTTTTTTTCTAATCTACAATAGTAAATAAATAGCACGAATCGCGATATCAGATTATTTGACCATAGCACAACAAAACATAAGTAGGTCATGTAATGATTCATGGCGAATGTAACCGTTGTCTTATCTTATCACAGCCGGAAATTATTCGGAAAGAGGGATACCCGGCCGAAGCACATGTGGTACTCACGGACGATGGTTATCTACTGACAATGCATCGCATTCCTGGACCACCCAACTCGCCCATTGCCTTTTTGCAGCATGGTTTGCTTGCTAGTTCATCGGACTGGGTGATTACTGGCAAAAATCGAGCTTTAGGTACATTACCGATTTCGAACTAAGGGATGTTCTGTATTAGACCTGACATTTCTTTGACCGCGCATATCTGCGGAACGGTTTAACCGATTTCAATGGGACGCAAGGCACCATTTGAAATGGCGCGCTTCCAAGATGGTTTTCGTTTCATTATTAACTCGATCAAAGCATAATTTCGCGAGTAATTACAAAAAATGCATCCTAGGTCGGCTTTTTTTAAATAATCTTGTTTTCTTTCAGCTTTTATATTAGCAGACATGGGCTACGATGTTTGGATGGGAAATGCAAGGGGTAACACTTATTCTAAGAGCCATATCAATTATACCACGTCCGATTTGAAGTTTTGGAATTTCAGGTAGCGTACGCGTGAAAATATTTTGGTAAACTTTCAAATTCACGCATCATTCGTATGTTTTCAGTTGGAACGAAATGGCTATCTACGATTTGCCAGCAGAGTTATCATACATTACGAATATAAAGAAAGATAAAATGATATACATAGGCCACTCGATGGGAACGACAATGTTTTTCGCCATGTCCATAGACAAACCGGACGTGGCGTCGAATATCAAGGCTATGTTTGGATTAGCACCAGTTGCCTTTTTAAATCATATTAAAAGTCCAGTGAGGCTACTCGTTCCGTTTCTTCCTGAATTAGAGCTGATCATTCGTTTTCTGGGAGAAGGTGAATTTCTACCACAAAATTCGATTATAAAGTTCCTTGCTAAGTACGGCTGTGATATCGATGTAACGGAAGAGAAAATATGCGCCAACACGTTATTCGTCATATGTGGTTTCGATACGTTACAATTCAATTATGTAAATGTCTTCTCAAAATATATCGAGACGATTGGTTTTATTAATAATAAACATTTTGTTGCAGACACTTCTACCGAGAATTCTGTATCATTCACCAGCGGGTGCATCGACGAAAACTTTAATTCACTTTGCACAGGAAATCAAGTCTGGAAGGTTTCAACGTTACGATTATGGAGCTGAAGTTAATAAAAAGTTGTATCACAATTCTACGGTGCCTGATTATGATCTCACAAAAGTTCAAGTTCCAGTTGGATTATTTTGGGCTGAAAATGATTGGTTGGCTAGTCCAATTGTAAGTTTTAAAAAAAATATTGTTGACATTTTTTTAAGTATTCTTCTGATTAAATATTTTTTTTAGGACGTCCAAAAGCTATCTGATTTATTACCAAACAATATTTTGAATCGCAAAGTTGACTATCCAACGTTCAACCATCTGGACTTTATGTGGGCTGTTGATGTACCAAAACTTGTTTATAAAGATCTTATTATTGCCATGAATAAGTATCGATAGTTTGAGATTTACTAACAAACTTGTACGGCACGTTGATCGTGTAAATACAAAGTCATTCATTACGCAGACTTCGTTGAAAAATTTGATTCATTTTCCTACTGATTAGAATATAAACGTCTTTGGTGTAATATTATTTTGTAGTAAAATGGCTTGAATTGAAATTGATGACTATTTTAAATGTAGCTTCCAAATATAATATTTTTCTTAGTAATTACCTTTTTACTACTTTATGTAACACATATAATTACGTTTGTCATTCAATTTACCACAGACAAATTAACCACGCTTACTTGGTCGGTTTTAAAATATGTTACTTTTCAGATGATTCTTGTATCATAATTCTCGTGAACTTGAGTTACGATCTAATCGACGTAATTTTTTAATTATAATAACTTTCTATTGCAAGAAAAAAAAATAAAAATGTTACAAAGAAAAGCAGAAAAATGTGTCATCTGAATAGCTAGCTACGTCGCGAATTTTCTTCCGTATTGTCAACGTGGGTGTAATATGGATTGATCTTCAGTGTCATTTCACGATAAGAGTTTACTGTATGATGTTTGCAATAAAATTATTATCTGTCATGTTATTATCTATGTAAAATTATTTCAATATTATTATATGACTAATTGGTTGACTAGTTTTCGGTAAAAGTTTACGGAAACCGAATGAAAATATAATCAAGAAGTAAACAAGAAGAAAATATTATCAAGAAGAAGAAGAAGAAGAAGAAGAAGAAGAAGAAGAAGAAGAAGAAGAAGAGAGAGAGAGAGAGAGAGAGAGAGAGAGAGAGAGAGAGAGAGAGAGAGAGAGAGAGAGAGAGAGAGAGAGAGAGAGAGACAGAGAGAGATACGAGTTTTGAGAGCAACCTATAGTCTCGTGACGTCATGCAATAAATTCATAGTTTGCTGTTTGCATTAATTAAATATTTATGTTTGAGTAACTAACGTTTTTCATCTTTAATACTGTTAGGAAGTAGTAGTAGTGTTTACATCAATGAGTCGACAAGTGTCACTGGCCTTTTGACGAATGTACTCTTATTTCGTCAAGACTATATTCCCACTCTTCGCACCTGATTTTATTGTGAGATTATCTACGTCAGCTGATATATATATATATATATAACTGTGATGTGCACAAAGTCGGCCTTATCAGCATCATTTGTCAGCTGTCTTTCAAGCCACACGCGTCAGTATAATTGTTTTTACATCGTAGGAAAGACCAACGTCAGTGAAAAGTATCGCGCACAAAGTTAAATGGAACTGCCTTCAGACGGATTAAAATAAACAAGAAATCTGTATGGCCAATAGTATTGTGATCATCGCACCTAAAAACCAGACGTTGACGAAAAATTCGGTTGTAACACAAGATACTTCCTCTTATCTCCTAGAAGATTTTCGCCACAAAATAACCCCAAACGAAATTTCTTTTGTTACAAGAGTAGCACTTTTACGGTGCAGCGATAGTGCAATTTTGAATTAATGTGTCAATTAAAACGTGATGGGAATCCACGTATGTAAACTTCCATGTGCTCAGAATATCTTTCTTATCGCGCGTGAATGCGTGTATACGTATGCATCAGCGTGTTTCTTTGTTATGGATAACTCCAAGTAAACACAGTCGTAGATGAGTGTGCGCGCGTGTTTGTAAATGCAGATGATCGCGCGCGACGCCTCAACCTCGGAAGAAAAAAACAACTAATTTCATGATATAAATTAGACTGAAAAAGCCAGTATGGTCAGTTACGTATCTTATATAAGCAGACGATTGCCAGAGAAGCATTATTTGTTTCTTTCGAGGCTTGTCGGAATTATGAGGAATAAATATTTAAAAATCGCTGCCTTCAGCTTGATCGCATTGGCAGTCGCATTTCCCAAGGAAATGAATATACCGCTTGTTAAAAGGGAAATCGATCGGATCAGTGCCAGAGCGGATTTTACAGCTTGCAGTAATGAACCTGAAGAAGAGATGACAACGGTGAGTTTGCTTGTTTTGATTGGATTATTTTTCAATCACGATATAAGTAGGTTAACGGTGATTTATAATATGAGGTTTTTACCTGTTGCGCAATTAAGTTATAAATGAAGTAAATGTGCAGTTTTCTTTAAGAAAAAAAACTCTGATTTTTTGAATATTTTAAAGGTTATACAGTTACCGTTCGGAAATTGATTTTTTGTTTTTGTTTGCACGATAGAAATAGTATTTTCAGAAATGGTTTTTAAGTAACGATAGCAACTTATCAATATCAAAGCGTATAATTATTTATCATTAGTGATAATATTTGCCATTGAATTGGTGACCTATAATCTGATCAATACTTAGATTGAACTCCAGACGTTGCAAGATAATTGAGTCATAAATGACTGTTTATTCGGAGCTCAATTTCATAAGTCTTATATTTATACAAGTACCTATTTGATGTAACCTAGATAGATCATAGTTTATATATATACAAATTTAAAACAGATTTTTTTCATTCAAAATGATGATATATTTAATTTTTTTTATAAATAAAACTTATCTATTAACACTCCTGCTTTTATCTGTAATACAGAACGATATAGCAATGGAAGGTTACTGCTAGTTTAATAAACAAAAAAGTTAAAAACCCGTTTGAGATAAAAAAATTTCATTGGCCTTGCATCACGTCATTAATGAATTCACGTTTAGCTAAAAATTTTGCTTAAGATGAATCGACCGAAAATACAATAATCAAGATCGTTTGCATCTTAGCCACCCACCTCTTTTTTAACGGTGCTTCGTCCAGGTGTATTTTGTTAGGCTTCCTAAAATCATCTGATATATAACTGTAAAGAAAAAAAACTGGTATGTGAATGATTATATAATCAGCTATTTCAAAAGTTTTTATTATGTATACGTGATGATGAAATGGTCAAATATGATTGGTTAAATTCAATGGGTGCTATAAGATAAAGCTTTACTGGTTGAATAATCAAATAATTTTAAGAGTTATTCAGTTTTTAAAAGTATTGACTACTTAATCTTTAGAAAGCAAAGCCAAATATACACTTAATTTTCAGATTCAAATGATAAAAAGGTGGGGATACAAGGCAGAAGAGCATTTTGTAACGACGGAAGATGGATATATTTTAGCATTGCATAGGATTCCGGGTGCCAAAGGATCCACTCCGGTATTAATGCACCATGCATTGCTGGAAAGTTCATCTTGTTGGGTGATTACTGGGAAAAGCAAAGCATTAGGTAATTTTCATTTTTTTTTCTTTCAAGTTCATTTTTACATCAACGGTTGATAGTATTGAAACGCTCTATTACAATTACTCATATTTAAATGAGTTGATAAATCATTTCATTTTATTAATGTCCAATAGTTGTAGTTAGTTTTCGCTTTATTGCCGATAACATAAATAATTTGCAGCATTCATTCTTGCCGACATGGGTTACGACGTTTGGATGGCGAATTCTCGAGGAAACACATATTCGAGAAATCATACAACAAAGTCACCATCGAACCAAGACTTTTGGGACTTCAGGTAAATATCAAAATTCATGTTTTCTTAAATTTATCTAAAGAACACTGTATATCACACTGAAACTTATAAAATATATAATATTCTTTTACGAATACATAAATAAATTGATAAAAATTTTAGTTGGCACGAGATGGGAATATATGACTTACCAGCGGAGATTAAATACATATCGTCGATCAATGATAAGAGTTTATTGTATATCGGTCACTCGATGGGAACGACAATGTTTTACGTGATGGCAAGTGAACGTCCAGATGAAGCAGTTAACGTGAAGGCAATGTTCGGTTTAGCTCCGGTGGCTTTTACTAATAACATAAGAGGACCATTCTACATATTTGGCAATATTCTACATTTTCTCCAGGTGATATATTATCGATTGGTCATTTTTGTTGTTAAATGCGTATGAAGGTAACCGGAATATTTTTGCTACAGGATAATGCCAATCACCAAGGCAAATATGAATTTTTTAATCAGAATCAGTATTTCAAATTCGCTGCTAAATGTATTTGCAGTAGACCATTGTTAAGGAATATTTGCGATATTGTTATCCAGTCGGTCGTTGGTTTCAGTTCTAAACAATCTGATGCTGTAAGTATATAGTAGAGCAAGTATCTTTTTCAACATGTTCACCAAAGTTCGTTGTTCGGTAATTCTTTGTTTTTTTTTTAGATGCTGCTGCCATTAGTATTAACACATACACCAGCCGGAACATCAATGAAAACGATTATGCATTTTGCTCAAGGCATCCAATCAAAGCAATTTCGCCATTACGATCATGGTATAAAAATCAACAATCAACGTTACAAGAATCCAATACCACCTGAATACGATTTCAGGAAAATTCAAGTACCGATCACTTTGTTTTGGGGTCAAAACGACTTTCTTGCTCAACCCAAGGTATGTACATGCGTTGTGCAAATCCATTATATACTGTTGTTCGTTAACATTATTTGGCATGCCTTTTTTGGCTTTTGTATAATGATTCGCTCTTTAAAAACAAAAAAGTTACGTGGAAAAACTTAATGACGTTTTTCACTCGTAAATCTGGATAGTTCCTTATCTTTTTATTCTCGTTCATTTTTCCTATCGATATAAATTATCGTAGAATTATGAGTCATGTATACGAGAAAAGCAGAGTTTTATTTTCCACGTTCGCTAAATCAAAATTTTCAAGTGCCACTGTTTCACATGAATGTATACGTGTTTGCGTCGACTTTTAGGATGTTAAAAGACTGTACGACCAACTGCCGAAGAAGGTTGCCATTTACAAAATTAACGATCCAGAGTTCAATCATCTAGACTTCTTGTGGGGTATCGACGCACCTAAGCTTGTTTATTCAAGGCTTATTGCACTCATGGACGAGTATCGTTACTCTAACGAGACAACTTCGACGTAATTTTAAGCGCTAAGCGTTCTTGAAAGGCATCCGTAGATAGGTAGTCAATATTACACTTGGTCTTGCAAGACTGAAGACGCTTTACTTATATAGCGATAATTTTCTTCTGACTGTTTTGGTTTTTCGAATGGAAATGCAGATATTTAATGTGTCGAGATTCGGTGATCAATTTTTTTTTCGCTATTGTGATAATATTCTGATAGCAATAACTTAAATTATCGAAATCAGCCCCAACAGATAGTATTAACAGCATAGATTTTATGCTTTGAAGATGGGCGTCATTTGTATGTTAGCATATTAAGATCTGTATTTAATAATATTAGTCTCTTACAAATTGATTACAGTTGACTGAGTGTATAGGTATCTTAGTATCTAAGTGTATTGTTTTGTTACGAAAATACTCATAATACATCATTAAAATGAATTTTATATAATATTAAATGCTTTCGTAGGTCGCTATTTTGATCTCTAATGAATAGCTAAAAATTATTGACATTCAGATTATAGTTAAAGCATAGCACATATTTTTTTTAAGAATAATGAGTGCAGTAAAGAATTCCACTTGGTATACTTATAATTTTAATGTAACTTGAATAAATAACTTAATAATTAATCATTTAAAACTTTGAATCATTTTGAACTATTAGTAAAATAAAACGAGAAGTTACCTTTCTGACCAATAAAATAAGATTTAAGGAACTTAAGCCCGGCTTACTTATAATTTTAATTTATCTTGATTAAATATATCATTAATTAATTGGTTTAATCTTTGAATCACGTTAATAATTGTCCTCGCTATATTGAAGTCAATGCAGTATATTGATGTAAAAAAAATAATTCAATGTCGAGCATTTTTTTCTCGTAATGAAAACGAGTTCAGTTCAGTTTGTGCACACACACACACACACACACGCACGCGCACACACACACACACACACATACACACACACACACACGCGCGCGCGCGCGCACACATACTTTAGCAGCATTGATGGAACAACCTTGTGGGAAATGCATAACATCAGAGTCAATGTCAACTCTCTTATCTCGTGGAGCACTTAACTATATCGTTTTTTCAACATATCGCATACAAAAGATTATTCTTCTCGAAGGTTGAAAGAAAAGTACTTTATTAAATGGCAAGCAGTGCGCTCTCAGAGAAGACCGAAGCGAGACGCGAGCAATTACGAAAATCACCGTGTAGTAACGTGATTGTTTTGTTTTTTTTTTCTGATGTATTAGTCACGAAAGTAGGAGAGGAGAGAGAGAGAGGAATTTTAAAAAGTTTCAAAGGTCCTAACAAGCCGTTGCTGCTATAGTACGCTTTCGATGTAATATAGTGGCGGTGATTTGCTGTGGTTATACATAGCATTCTTGCCGTCAAATTATTGCCCTTTCTTGCAATATGCATTCGGGTATTAGAGTTTACAAGCGGAGAAACATTTGAAAGTATCCGCGCGCACAAGACACAATCATTTTGGGCAAGAAAAAATTCTCGCCTACGTTTGCGCAAGTCGCTACGCTGCCTTTATTCATTTTCCCTGCAATTGAATGAATAAATTAATACACTTATTAAGAAGCAATTCGAACGTTGTGCTTGATTGCTATAAATAACTTTAGCGAAAAAGGTTACAGTCGAGCGAAGGAAAAACTTTGTTGTACTTTGTGATGAGCGTAAAGTTGATGCGGTTATTTAAATTTTTAATGCATTATTTGCATTATTACACAATATTTATAATTAATTTACTCGGTTTATTTATAATTAATTAAGTCACTGATGTACTCACGATTACTTCGTCTTTGAAGATTTTTTTTTTCAGAAGTTATATACGAAACATGTTTTTGCGCAGCATCCTCGTAGTTTTATCTATTTTCGATAAAAAGAAAAACTGCTGACGAGTTTGAACAATAATCATACGCGAGCGCAATGATTATTGTTAAGACAGTTTTTCTCGAATCGTTTCATTTACAGACGCAAAAAGCATCCGAGACATAACTTTCGTGACATTACCATACGGCAAGGATGAAAAAGTTTTCCATTGAACTATAAAGATCGACAAGATCTCTGTCAGGTGCATACGTCTGACGAGGAGAGATCAGGTGATTTTTCTTTCTCTCGCCTTACTCGTGATCTTATTTTAACTCTTGTACTTGCTTCATTTTTACGTGTTGAGGGCCGACCGCCGCACGAACCACGTCGCCACGCAGTCAAACGACGATCGTTCGCCGAAAATGTTCACCGGTTTTGGTACCTGTGGACGACTCGCTTTGTGAATTGTAAAATTATTCAGTTGATTTTCTCTTTTCGAGGCCTTCCTTTTCTCAGACATGTGAATTTTAGTGCTTCGACGGCAATTCCTGCGCGTCAAGTTTTGTCAGTCTACGACGTATAATCAAACCAAATCAGAGGTACATACTGTATAGGAAAAATTATCCGTGATTACCTGTCGCAATGATAAGACATTCGACGTTTTCTTTCTTTCTTTTCGTTAAGGCTACGAAAATGCGATTCGCGTCGTGCATGGTGCTAATATTTACCTTGAATCTGCATACGATTCCTGGAGATTCACTGTTTCGTGACTTTGCGTTCCGGACGAAGGCAGTCTCTGGTGATTACCAAGCGAATGGAAATAATGTTTTACTCCAAAACCAAAGCGCTACTGACGTGACTTTGGTAAGTTTTACTATCTTCGGAAGCAAATCAGGAACTTGGGATTCTAAGAAAAAGTGCTGTTAGCGTAGTACTCTATATTTCTTCAAAATTATGAGTACAATTAAATCATTTTTCTCTCTTAAGATTAAAAGAACAGAATTGTGTATAAATATCTCAAGATCAATAAAATCATTCCAAGATTATTGTATCTAGGTTAAGATAAAAGACGAGACAAGTTCAATAGGAAGTACACAAAACTTATCTTTCTGTTTGGTAAATGCTAATTTAGTTTGTCAGTAAAGAACAACTTTGTGACTTAACGCTTATTCTCAAATTCTTTAAAAAACAGTTCGCTAATAAACTATAATCAAGCGCATTTTGGCGTGGTAAGATGTGCATACTATAAAGTGAGACTAAGACTTTTTACGTGTTTTTAGCTAGAATTAATAACACAAGCAAACTATTCAGTTGAAATACACCACGTTACGACCGAAGACCAATACATTTTAACAGTTTTTCGACTACCTGGTCCACCAGGTTCAACGCCTGTATTTCTGCAACATGGACTACTCGAAAGCTCGGTTGACTGGTTGCTCCCTGGAAAAGGAAGATCACTCGGTACTTTCAAAACACAAATATTTATGTTAACTTATCTACAGAAATGTGCTTTAGTAACAGATATATCGGTTTGGTAGAGTACAAAATACTTCCATTTCGTTTTTTCTCACCCGGCTCAATACGCTTTCCTTGAATGCGATAATCATCATATTGTTTTTATTATTTTTTTTTTCTTATTGTGACATCAACTCATAAAAATAGTGCGTAAAAATTTACATTGGTTTTCATGGATCACAAAATGCCTTTCTTCATTGTTCAGCTTACATTTTATCAAACCACGGATATGACGTATGGTTAGGAAACGCTAGAGGAAGTACTTATTCAAGAAAACACAAGACTTTGTCCACCTCCGATCCAAAATTTTGGGATTTCAGGTAAGAATAATTCCATTGTGGATAAAATGTTTTTCCAAGAAAACGCGAAAATGGTTAATTTTTTTCAGTTGGGATGAATTAGGAATGTACGACCTACCAGCCGTGATAACTTACATAACAGATCTCAAAAAGGATAGTTTATTCTACATTGGGCATTCCATGGGAGCAACGACATTTTCTGTTATGGCTATAGAACGGCCAGAGGTCGCTAAAAAGGTCAAGGCCATGATTGGACTTGCACCTGCGACGTATGTGTATTACATTAGAGCGTCAATAAAACTTATTGCTCCGTTTTGGAAGCTATTTCAGGTATTAAAATCATAGAAATTTAATATCAAACATTTTTTACTCTCTCGTATATTATTTCAGCACGTATCGAATGCACTAGGGATATATGAATTTTTCCCACACAGCTTGTTCTTCGATAATTTTGCAAGATCCATTTGCAAAACCACTTCGCTGCGCAACGTTCTATGTAGCAATCCATTGTTTTTGATTGCCGGATTCAATCCTGAAAAACTTAACTATGTAAGTAAAACGATTTTTTCGGTAAGCAGATCATGCCTTTAAGTTTGACATTTTTTCTTAGCCCTTGTTACCAAAAATTTGGAGCAGTTTTCCAGCCGGAACATCAGTCAAGCTATTCACACACTGGCTCCAGCAGATAGTTGTGAACGACCTTCGAAAGTTTGATTATGGATTGCCAACTAATTTGAAAATTTACAATAAAACGGAACCTCCTGTCTACGATATCTCAAAAGTTCAAGTACCTGTCGCACTACTTTGGTCTACTAATGATTGGTTAGTAGGACAAAAGGTGTGTAACTAAGTATCACATTTAAAGATGTAAATTCTGTGTAGTAAATAATATTTTTTTTCAGGATGTGGAGAAATTTTATAGCCAAATTCCTTTGAAATTAGGAATGTATAAAATAGAGGATGAAAATTTCAATCATTTTGATTTTTTGTGGGCTGTCGATGCTCCAGAGCTAGTATTTTCTAAAATTATTAACATAATGAACCAATTTAGTAACAGTATTGTTTGAAACTGTAATTTTTGTATATACAATCGGACAATTTAGATATAACTCATTTGTATTTGATTTTTATAAGAAAATGACGAAAATAAAATTAATTATGTAACCATTGTGTATTTGAAGAAAAAAATATTTTTACTCAAATTAAATGTATACAATACTTAACAAATATATACAAAGCTATTATAGCGAGGTTATTGCGGACACATTTATGTTCATTAAAATTGACAAACACATATTTCTTCAACAAAAGTATATATTATAATATTTATATTGTCAAGAGAAGTAGTGACTTATTCTTTAATAATTAAAAAAATTGCACTCAATCATTAACAATATTAATATTTAACACTTCTGTCTGAAGTATCTTATTTATTTTCTTCTTATAATGTAGTTAGGCTACGTATTTTGCATAAGTATTTATGAAAAGTATATCAGATATTGTTAAAAGTATTTTAAGCATTATAATACTTTCTTTTACACACACATACACATACACACACGCGCACATGCACGCATCCACATTAATTACACGGTAGGTTGAAAAAATCATCACAAATGTTATGTTAAATTTGATATCAAATTATTTATGTTACCTAAAATTTTTCATACAAAATTTGGTCTCTGACAATGTATTGTTCTGTATCAGAGGTTGCGACTGTTTTGAACTCTATAAAAAGCTCAATTACGTTTAACAAAAGTCTCTAGAGCCAAACAATTAGTAAAATATTGCTCAAACAATTATTAGAATATGCCACGTCAGGTTTTCAGAACGAACCCACAGATACATAGGTATAGCTGTTTATGCTATGCGTTCAGTAACAAAGACTTGCTAAACTGTGTCACTTCAATTATCCTTCCTACAAACAAGAACGTGAACATTTATGGTAGTTCAGAACCGACTAAATATACCTCGAAAATGCATGCATTTGTCGTTGTATTTTATTCTCGTACCTATTAACTTATAGGCACCGAAATAAGATTATTTACAGGATGTTGAAGATGGAGAAAATTACGTTAACTTAAGAATTTACGCGACTGAACCGTACATTCATTTCATTATTCGACTGGAAGATATGCTTCGCAAGGTTTATTCTATCACATTTAAATATTTCACTTTTATTAAATACGGGACATATTAAAGAACTACGATATTTTAAAATATTCGATAGTCCCCCTCCCCCTCTCCGTCTTTCTCAATATAGAGTCCTGTCGTATCGACTAAACAATTTACCGGTCGAGTCTGTAACATATCAACTTCCGAGCTTACAGTACTAAATTTGGCTTCAAATATTTTCATCAACGAGCGCTGCATATATCAAATTTCTCGGAACTAATAACGTAATTTAAAAATTCATATCTTTGCACTTGACATAAGTTTTCGTTCGGTAGATTATAAGTTGACTCATAAATTTGATTTCCGTTGAAAAGTACGTCAAGATGCACGCCTCTTTGTTAAATGAATGCTTCGTTTTCTCGTTACGTTTAAAATTTCAAGCTTTTACCTCGTTACCAAAAAACAAATCTTGGAATATGCAAAAACTTTGGAACATTCCAGTGCTCCGTTACACCGAAGTTATAAGAAGGGCGAATGCAAGCGCATCTTTGTGGCTGGAAAGTTTGCCAAAGCAAGCTCAACGATGTTTTGCTTGTTCCAAAAGCAACAAATCTTATTCGACAACAGCAAAGCTAACGTTAAAGTGAACGCGTACCTCGAAAGTCTCGTCGTGGTTGCTCGCCACGAACCGGAGTAAAATTCATCGGGCCGCCAATCTCCAAACAACATCGAGAAAGCGATCGAGGCTCGCGAGACAAGCCCCCCCCCCCCTCCCCATCGCCCGTCATCCCGCCCATTCATCATGGCACGCGCAGTGGCACAGCATCCCCGCGCGTCGCGCTTGCGCGCGAGGGATGGGATGCAAGTCCACGTCCGCCGCCACCGCCACTCGACACCGTCGCGCGCGTATACGTGTGCTCCACATCTGCGCGCTCGGCGTCACGGAGACTCGAGAGCCGAGCGTTCTCTCAGTGAAATTTCCGCGGCGCGCCCGCCTGCGTCACGCCGCCGCTTCCCTGCCACGCATATCACGCACACACCCGTGCGACCTCTGTGTTTTTATTTTCATTTCGCGACGCACACGCACTCGCGCGCAGCCCCGTGACGGATGGACAGAGAGAGAAAGAGCGAGGAATAGGAATTTACGAGGCGAAGACACGTACCACTTTGTCGCCAGGAACAATTGCCGAAGGTAAAGTATCTATATCCGCGTACGTGCGCGCGGCACGAATTATTTTTTAGCCCTGCTATTGGTCCATGCTCGATCGATATCTGCGTACATACGCGCCCGCGCGCACGCGTGGTGTGTGTGTGTGTGTGTGTGTGTGTGTGTGTGTGTGTAAGAGTGCAACGCTCGTAGGAATGCACCGGATGACGGAGAAACCCTATCACTAGAGGTCCGGCTTCTCTCTTCCGTTCTCTTTGTGCGCTTCGGACGTGTCTCTCCGATCGCGCGTGTTTCGGCATTTTTTCTTCCTCGACGCGGATCTTTTTTTTCCGCTTAATAAACGCTAATGGATCGCCGCGTTGACAACGATATACGCCGCTTGGTTTGTTTGCGCATTTCAAGAGACTTGAGGAATTCGCTGAGTGGATGGTTTCTTTTTTTTCCTCAAGAGGAGAGAATTTCAGAGGGATATTACTCCCGTAGTATAGAGTTTGTTTGGTGAGACGTTTTCATGACTATGACTAGGACAAACGAGTCGCAGGATCGTTTCGAGTTCCGAGTGTCGGCAATTTATTCGTTGAAACTAGTTGTCGAATGATCGGAATCGATTAATTATTTAAAATCATTCCGACGAGCTTACGACAAGTAGACAAGTACAGTACATCGATCGAGAAAAACGGTCTTCCGAAGCAGAAGCACGACGACCTCTTATCAATCTCTCTCGATATAAAATCGATCGATGTCGAGTCGAATTCCTTGAGCCGACATCCAGGTCGCTCGTGGAGCAGCAAAAAACAAGAAAAAAACTATGCCAACTCGTGACAATTAGCCAGATTACGCAAATTAGGCAATTCTCTCTTCTTTTTTTACAAAAGAGGTCTCTAATATTTTAGAAAGTCACGCGAACTGCGACGCCTTCGAAGAGCGAAGAGAAAACGAGGAAAAACTCGAAAAAGAAAAAAAAACATGGATGCGGCTCGTTAAGTGTTGTACTAGTAGAAATAATTCCAAATGAATAGAATAGCGAGTAGCGCAATAATGGTATACCAATTTGCACGTACGTTCTCTCGACTTCTTTAAACTCCGGATATAGTCGCTGTTTAACTCAATAGACGGATTAGCACTAGCACGATATATTAGCTGAACACAATTCTATATAATCGAGACACTCGTCGCACAAACTGTTAATTGGCATTTCAGGTGCAAAATTCGCAGTGAATAATGGGGGAAAAAAAAAAAGATTTACCGCAATCGTACCATTTTCCGTCTGAGAAAACTAGCTTCTCTAATGAAGAACATTCTCTTGAACCTTCAATCAAAACTTTTCGTAATATATGCGGAATACCCCATGTACGTGCTTACGTACACACACGCGCGTGCGCACGAGCGGGGAGTAAAAGTAGGTCCGCGAGTTTGTTCTTGACTCGGTTGGACAATCCTATATGTACGGCGCATCCGCGCTTCTCCTCTCTCTCTCTCTCTCTCTCTCTCTCTCTCTCTTTTGCGAAACGCTGGCTTTTTTCACTCGACGCGATGAGCTTTGAGGTCGTGGAGTTCATCATCATCGCGCGATAAAAAGAGTAGCGGGATGCTGGCGAGGCGAGGCGCGTGACGCAACATTGAAAAATTATGCGCATATACGGTACTCCTCGATGAGGCAATTACCGCTCGAGAAAGGCAACTGCGCGCAACTGAATTTGATCGGGCTTGCGAGTCTCGCTTTGTTTCCGCTCTTTCGCCAGCGCGCAAAGTACAAAATGAAACGGTCAAGATTCCATTCATTCGGATTCGAAGACTATTTTCCCAAGTACACGACGGTGACAAGCGATTGACTTGGCAATGAAACGCCTTTGATTTGCCTCTCCGAGTTCCTCGCAGAAAGGGGATAGGCCTCACCGTACGCATTACACGCGAGCACGTAAAAGGGGAAAAAAATCTCGCGGAAGTATGAAATTGCTACAATAAAGTGCACTGCTTTAGTAGCTCATTATTCAGTGGCTCGTGCGTCGTGGGCTACTGCTGCCGTAACGGTATTGTCGGACGAGCGAACTCCTTAACGCGCGAAACAATAGGCGTCGGCGCGGCGCGTCTATAAAATTCGAAAATATTCGCTGCAGCCGCGGCGAAGGCCCCCGTTCTTCGTCGTTTCCAAGGTTTACGAAGGTTGAATTCTGATAGGTCGCGCGACTTCGACGCACGCGAGACGTGGGACGCAACGATCGCCAAAGTAATCGTCTAATTGTCAGTTATCGCAGAGGCTAAAATGTCTAAACGAACGCTCTACTTGGAGATCAAGTGGGTCGCTGTGGTATAATTAATCGCAATTTAATAATCTATAACCCGCGATTCGAGCGAAAGCTTCCGGTTATCAAGCGTGCGCCAGATAGAACAAAGAATAAAATTGAAATCGGGTCAGGGATTCTGCGTCTCGTCTCGCCGAGGAATCTAGGCGATTTTCTTTCGTCTCGATTACCATCGTGAGGCCTTTCACCACCTCTCGCGAATTATTTTTCTGCGAGGTCGACCAACTTTCGGCCAAGACGCAAACGCGCGAGCGGAGCCGAAATAGTCGAGCGGAGGCTCGCCCGAGAGAAAATCGAAGCCACGCGAACGCGTGGTCAACGCTTCGTAAGGTTCTTCTGCGGACTAATGAGAAACTTGGCAGCACTCGCGTTGCATCACGACTTCTTTCACAGAAGTACCGCACTTGAAAAATTTAATGACACAGTCGCCGGTTTCTACCTACAGATAACTGTAACGAGCCGTGAGATTCGTTGCATCACGACGGTGAACAATAAAGAGCTCTTCTATGTCAGCTTTCGTCGTAAAAAAAGCGCTATCGGTGATGGCCATTAAACCCCATTACCTCGAGTCGTAGAAAGACGCACGGCGCATGTGGTCGTCGAGTAAGCGAGCGAGTAGCCGTAACCGCAGCGCCGTATCGAAAAGCCAGAGATAGCTTATTCCCCGTGC